GTCGGCGGCGAATGATAAATTCACGCTCTGCGGCCAAAAACTTAATAATTTGCAGCATTTATCATGCGGCGCGATGACACGCGGAATCCGCTTGATGAGTGATTTTTGGTTATTTTCATACCACTGTGCGGCCTGCCACTGCCACTGCCACTGCATTATGTATGGGCGAAAAATTGCATTTGCACGTATTTTAAGTGGGCCGGAGGAAGAGAACTTTCAGCTTTCCGGTATTGCTGGCACTGCTTATATATATCCAAACAAGTATATATACAATATTTCGCTCGATATGCACAATACGCAAGTTGCCCACATCCTTGAAGGCGGATACGTGCAAAGTGCAGGAGGTGGAGGGGGGCGTGGCGCACGGCGCAGTTACTCAGTATTGTTGCGCTGCAGTTTCCGGACTTTTCCCAGCGATCCTTTTGTGTGCTCTTACAAATAAGTCTTGCTGTTTATATGGTAATAAATGTCAGGCTTCATTTTGCCCACGAGCGCCACGAGTTGCCCCAAAAGGAAATTGATTTTTCTTGCCGCTTCAATGGAGCTGGCCGACAGCGGCGGCTGCTCGTTACCTGTACCCGCCCATTACCCAAGTCTCTCCCACCCAGGGGCCCCTTTTTCACTTCACCTGGCATATTTTGTATTATTGTTAAGCGCTGGACTGGGAAATGTCCCAACACCTGAAGCTCATCAGCAGCTGTCGCCGGGTTACACACCAAAATCTGCCCGGACTTACGGTAAATGTCGTCCAAGCATTGATAAAGGCCACAAATGAGAAAGAGAGAGAGCGAGATAGAGAAAGAAAACAAAGGCGAATCAAATGCAATTACCTGTCAATCTCGCCCAGACAAATTCCCAAAAGAAAAACTATTAAAGGCCAGATTTTTATAGCTCGACGTTCACTAGGTAAATGTTTGTGTGGGAGACTCTTTTTTATATTCTTTGTGAATTCCCCAAGTGTTGGGCTTGCCTTTTTTGACAGTTTACCAAGAACAACAAAAACGAATAAAGGTTGCGCCCCTGCAGATGTAAGCTGCTGACAGATTTAAGCTTCTATTAAGTGAAAGCTACATAATTAATTTATAATGCCGGAAAATTAGAAGAAGAAAAAACTGAAGTAATATATTCTCCTCATGGCACAAAGAACGAGGCAAAGGCAAAGGCAAAGAACCCAATGAAGCGGCAAGATAAAGTAAACTCTGCACGCAAAGAAAAATGCAAAATCTAGCAAAAATTTAATTAATAATAAAAAAGAGGGTATATTAATCTGAAATTAATGAAAAACTAGGAACAAACAAAATTCGCTGCATGCTAAAGGAAAACAAGAAAGAATCTGGTCATCGGGTGGGGTTGACTGGGTTATCCTCGACATTTGTTAAAACTGACGAGGGGGTCTTTATTAAGTTGAACAGTCTAGCACAGAAAATTCAAGAACATAGTTCAAAACTAACTGAAGTAAATTTAATAAAGACACTCTAGTAATCTAAAGTTAATAGAAAACTACATAGAAGAAAACTACATAGAAAACTACATAGATTCAATACAAATTCAACTACTCTGATTGGTTGTGGTCGACTGGAAGATATTCCAGCGAAATTAGAAGTCCCTTTCATAAGTTCCCCTCCTAGTATACATCATATCCGGACAGCCCACACTCAATGGGTCCACTGTGCAAATATAAATTGAAATAAATAATTCAAAGCTGTTAAATCAAAATGAGCAAAGGTTGAAAAATAGATTTTGGCATCCATAACCCAATCAGAAATTCAATTTGTAGCCAAGTGAATAAATGGCAGCCAAGGTTCATTTGTTTGCTCGTCTGTAAAATTGGTCGGAATACCAAATATTGCTTATAAAGTGGGCAGAGTCCTAATTACATATTCCGTTTGCTATTTGCTATTGCCAATGGCAAGTGAACGAGCCAAAACTTGAAATTCTTGTGAATAAATAAGGCAGAGCGGAGAATTATGTTGGGGCAAAGGGCAGTCAGGCATCTTTTACTGCGTATGACTGACTGGCTGACATATCAGATGATGTGTTTTCAATCATTACGCCTAAGCTGCGTGATTAATGGCAGCGCACAGGACTCCATCGGCTTGACAGAGTTATTCCCCAGGACATGGCTATGACTATGATTCCCACATTTGGTGCGATTGCGATTGCGATGCGTCTTGGGTTCATTTTTCATATATGTAGCTCCACGCCGATGGGCCGTCGCGTCGGCCTGGCAAAACTGAACAAAACTAAGCTTCAATAAGTTAAACGAGCCCACGGCGCTCCAGTGCCACATGCCCCCATGACGTTGCAACATATGCGGCGGCATAATTAATCATCACTCGAACGTGCCTAGAATCCAAGTTTATTTTTCGCCCATTTCACCCGTTGCCTGGCACGCAAAACTTACGACAAAACTTAGCTAAGCTCTTTATAATATTAGCTAATAATACGTACATATATACATGTAAAAAAAATATATATATTATGAGAAATTTATTGCCTGCAGGCGGAATATTTGATAAGCTGCCCACTCGGATTCAATTGAGTCGCCTGACGTCATCAGCCATTTCCTTTTCCTGTTTATTTCCATTGGCAATTCAACTCAATTGGAAGCCCACCTGGACAGTAAAGCTCAATAATTGCAAAACGTTCGCAGTTTCACTTTATAATATGCCACGCCCTTCACTCCCCTCCGCTTTCCACTGCCATTCGCTTTAATTAAGTGTCGAGCCACTGTGAACGCATCAGCGAATACAGAAGAATAATAACAAAGGATATAAAGATAAATCAATATAAAAACGTGAAAACCACAAGAAAATAATATATATGAAAACAAGTTAAGTGCCGTTAATGTTCTTTTCGAGTGCCATAAATAGGCTCTAACTTGCATTTGCCCAGCGCTGATCCATTAAAGACTGCTTAAGCTTTATTTGAAATAGCGAAGGACTCATCATGCGATTTGATTGCTCTACACCAAATGCAAAGTATTTGTCTAGCTTTGCGCATAAACATTTTGGCTCAAGGAGTGTTGAATGGAAAAAATAAGATTTTATTGCACAAAGCATGAAATAAACAAAATTCCATTTTACCAGAAAAACGACTTTAAATTTTAAATAATAAAAATAGTCCGATAAAAGCCTGAAGATAGTTTAAGATTTGAATATTTATTTAGTAATAAGTGAATTTTTATTCATAGGCATTTTTTATTTATTTTTTATACAATTCTAGCTGAGGAGTAGAAGGGATATAAGCTGAAAAAGCTTGAAGATAAGTTAAGAGAATTTTTATTCATAGGAATTTTGTATTTATTCTTTTTTTCAATTTTTTAATAAAATATTTAATTAATATAAAGCCATTAAACGTACCCTCCCACACTCAACACATGCAACAGCTGAGGAAAAATGCAATTAATAAAAAAGTTTGCCTGGCCACTGGCCTAGCCGTGGCTCTAGTTTGCATAGCTGAATTGCCACGCTTGTAATAAATGCTAATGGGTAGTGGCTATTTTTTTTTAAATTAAGTTAACAGCAACATGCGGCATTAAGCCAGTTTGTTGCATAGAGCTTGATGTCCCCATTCAATCTCTTGCAGCGCCGCATGCCACACGAAAAAAACCGCAAATGCCACAGCAGCTGTCACGATGCGTTTGTTTGTTCACTTTATTTTTATTTTTTATTTATTTTTTTTTTTATTTTTTTTTTTGGTAGAACAAGCTTTTTGCCCCTACGCTCAGGCTGCCGCACGCCTCGTTGCCAGCATTGCTGCAATTAAAATGCAAGGAAATTACTTTTAAATACATTTGTTGCGCTTGTCAAGCGGCCGCACAGGCAGCTTGGCCTGTTTTGCCTTTTGTTGTGCCACCAGCTCCGCTCCGCTTCACTTCCGTCCACCCAGCTCGTGCTCCTGCTGCAGCTGCCGCTCCTGCTCCTGCCGCCCCTTTAGCCAAAACCCCATTGCCTTTCTAGTCACATCCGTTTGGCTTTTATCCGCGCATATTGCGCCCTGAAGCGACGCGCTTGAAATTCGCACTCAACTCGCAACAGACCCCGCAAGCAAACCACACAACCCACCCACACAGCCACCCACTAGTTTGTCACTAGCAGCATTTTCACTTTCCACTTTCCCGGCTTCTGCATTGGCTGCTCTTGGCCTCGACTTGCATATTTTTGGCTCGATAGTTGCCCACATTGAATTTCAATCATCAATTTCAATCAAATTCACTGCGATAGCCGCAAATTTTATTGGCTTGGGTAATACAAATTTGACGTCGTCTTTTGCCAACTGCAGTTGCGAAAACTTTTAATTCAATTAGGGCCATCGAAAAACAGGCTAAGAATGATTACTTTTGCCAACTAGATAGCTGCTTACCGCAGGTGCCTAATGCCGCGCTCAAAGGGTTCAATAAAAAGGCTAACTTAAATAATTGGTAACATTTCATTTCTATTATTAAAAAAAAATATTATTATATATTATTTTTTTTTTATATGAATGTATATAATTTGAGGAGACAGTAACATGTTCTAAAATTTATATCTCTTTTATTAATTTAATATAATTGCCATAAGTCTACTTAAGCTATTCGCTTTAAGGGGAGTTACTTTACAGTCTGCATCCCTGCATGATTAATCGTTCAACAGCTCCCATCACTGTTTTACAACACTAGACTGAAAAACATTATTCAAAGGCTGTTAACAAAGTCTGTTGCCCATTTCTTAACATGTCACTTTAAATAAATCTATTACTCATTTACCAACACTGAACAGCACTACTAACACGCTGTCGGCGCAGCCAACTTCACGCACACAGTTTTCTTTTCTCGAATATTACTGAAAATCTCAATACTCTCTATACGCATTGACTGCTTGACGGGAAGTCTTTTGGAAAAGAAATTTCATGAAACATACGATCAAATTTTAGAGCCTGTGAAACGAAACTTTATGTAAAAACAAACAGCCGCTTGTCAATACATTCGGGGCCGAAACGAGGGAGGAAAAAGGCTGACTATGGGCAAAAAACAGAAGATGAAAAAGGCAGCCGCCGCAGCCAAGGTCGCTGCTGGCGATGCGGCCAAGAACAAGAACGACCACAGCTGTTGCAGCGGCGGCGGCAGCGCCTGCAGCAACGCCGGTTGCTGCGGCAAAAACAAGTGCGCTGAGAGCTCCAATTCGAAGACAGATCTGAGCTCCGTCAATATGCAGAATCTGATGACTCTGGCCGAACATCTGCAGGCCTCACCAAGTGGCAAATGCAAGAGCCAGAAATCATCCGGCTCCGGCTCCTCGGCCTCGGACAGCTCTGACAGTGACGATGCGCCAGGAGAAGCCGCCGGCGCGGCAGGCGGAAGGGAGCTGCAGCAACAGAAACAATCGGGGGATGGGCCGTCAGAGGTGTTTGCGATACCAAAGTATTCGCGCGGCGAGAAGAAGGCGCGTCGCTTGCTCATGAAGTTGGACCTGGAGCCGGTGCCAAATGTCTCTCGCGTCACCATGCGCAAGGCCAAGAATGTGCTGCTGTGCATCGATCAGCCGGAGGTGTTCAAGTGCCCCAACAGCAAGACTCTCATCTGCTTCGGCGAGGTGCGCATCGATAATGCCTCGAATGCGGCTGCCGCCCAAGCAGCCGAGCGCTACATCAACGACGTGAATGTGCATACACCCCAGATGCAGAAGGATGGCAGCGAGGGCCTCCTGGAGGACCAAGAGGGCGAGGAAGTGGACATCGAGGCACTCGGCAGTGAACTGGACGAGAAGGACATTGAGCTGGTCCAAATGCAGGCTGGCTGCACGCGCCTCACGGCCATCAAGGCACTGATCAAGCACAAGAGCGATGTGGTCAATGCCATCATGGAGCTGACTGTGGGCGTGGACATCTAATCACCGTCTACAGCGCGATTTGCTGTCTAAAGTGTCGCCGTTAAAGTTGACAATTAAAGAAATATTCAAATTTGGTATGAGATACCATTGATTAAAATTTTCCTTATATTTTGACTGGTGTTGATCCCCAATCAGATGTCGTATTATTTTCTATAATACTATATCAATTTAGGTTTCATTTCACAAGTAATATCATCTCTGTTGAAGTAGTCAATGCTTTAAGTTAGCTTTCCTTTTTATTTTAACTCAAACGTCTAATCAATAAATAGTAAAGATTTATAGATGATCCAGCTGGATTGTGTAAAGGATTGTGTAGAGATAATTGAAAATTTAGGATTATATAAATTTTGCCTCAACATATTGGGGTTAGAGTCTCTTTGAGCACCGACTCGTCTATAAATTGTATCTAGGTATTCCTTTTTTTAACACAATGCTCACATAAATCAAGTCTGATCCTCTTCTATAAAATTTTATCTACCGCATCACTCGACTCCAATAACAACAGTTACGTTCTGCAAGCCTTTAAGAAACGCCCTGAAATCTGAAATCTCATGCACACATTTCATTGCCGAACACTTGGCCATTTAAATGTGTTGCCAGCCCAAAGCATCAGCCCTGTCAACTGGTTAACATTCTGGTCTTGTGAACTAGTTCCTTGAAACTTGCCGCAAACAGTTGCAGGTAATTGCTGCCAACTTGCCAGCTGAAAGAGTTTCTTTCTGTTCAGCTGACTTCTGTTTGCCGAAATGTCATTTATCTTAACTCGTTCTTGGCGCATAATATTTTTCTGTTTCGCCGTCTTTTGTTTCTTTGTGAGGCTTTCATCGTTGAGCTGCTTTGGCACAGTTGCTTAACTCCAACTTTAGTTTTCTCTCTCGTTTCTTTTCAACTTTGTTATCTAGGCGATTTTCCCTTCAGTTTTCATCATTTGCGCATTTTCATTATTTTGTATTGTAGCTGGGTGTAAGTAATCAGCTTTCCAGCTGGTTGAGGTTTTTGTTTGTTTGTTGCTGTTGTTGCTCTGGTTGCTCTGGTTGCCAGGTGCCATTGAGAAGGACTCGTTGAATAAGTATTCATTCAATTAAAATGGCTTTTGTTGGCGGACGGCTTCGCCTTCTTTTGACATCCTGTCGCCAGGCAAGGAGTCGTCCTGCGAGCACACAGCGCAAAGCCACTTAATAAATGGCGGGTTCTAACTTTCGGCTTAATTTCATTCAATTTGCAGCTGTCGTCAGCAGCCGTAAAAAGGACTTTAGTTTTTGCATTGTGGCAGCACTTGCTGTACAATCGCCGCGCCCCAGTCAAGCCCCGCCTAGCCCAGCCCACCACAGCCCAGCGCACGTTCAACAATTTCGACCGAGTGAAAATTACCAAAAATAAAACGACAATACTTTCGTGGCATGCTCGACTGGCCAATACCCTGTAGGCTATTCGACTGAGTAAAGCTTGGACCACATGGAGTCATATGGCTAATAATATTACGTATACGTTGCGATGGCCAATTTGATATATTTTTAAAATATTCTAAAATATTTCAATATCTATCATTTATAGCTCATGAAACCTTTGCTGCTTGGGCCAAAAATCACACACTTAATTCATTTAAAATAATTTGTATAAATTCATGCACGAAAAAATACACATACGCCCCATTAAACAATGATTATTTTAATTTATTTTATTTTATTTTTTTTTTTTTGTTTTTTGCATAGCTTTTGCACATTTTTGTTGATGAATTTGATATTTTCAGGAGGTTAAATCGAAAAAATTAAGATTGGCATGGACCAAAATAGATGCATCATGGTTGTGGGTCAAATAAAATGATTTTACATTACGTATACGTTCTGTTGGTCATCATGAATATTTATTTATTTATTTACTCAGCCGCAATATACTCGCAATATAATTCTGAATGCGTCAGTGATTTATTTATTGATTTACATTTATATTATTCACTCAATCACTGTTTAAATCACTTTTACAGGGTAATCAAGCAAATAGCCTGGCAACATTCCTTATTCTATTGCTGGCGAATTGTAAATTGAAGCGGAAATTGATTAAGTTGGGCGCGCAGAGTTTTAATCAGCGTTTTGAGGACGCGCTCGCAATACAAATTTATTTGACAATCCCCAGTCAGAGGCGGCAAACTTTGCAGCAGATGCCAGGCAATGGCGGCAGATGGCTGGAGGGATGGGCGAAATGCGGCAATTCGTGGCAGGCATCACCTGGCCACATGGCGCACGTCTTACGGTTGAGTAAACAGCTTAAGTAGCCAGAAACAATGAAGTGTGTGGGCGTGGCCCTCTCGCCAATTCCAGCTGCCAACTAACGACTGCAACTTTCTACAAACAATTTCAAGTTTTGTGGCTTCTCAGGTCGAAAAAATTGCTCTACCTATTTTTCGTTTTGCGGCCGTCTTTGAAATGAAATTCTGTTACCTTTGAGACTCGTGAATTTTTTGTTATGGAGTTTGCGGAATATTTCGAATCAGTTGTGGACCTTAGTTTTTCAACGTTTGATTTGCTTGCGCATTTCTTGGACCAAAGCCGCAAAGGATTCCGCCTTATGTTCCGTCTGGACGACAGCTTGTGGCTGTCAGTTGCGGTGCGTCCGAGCATGAAACAAGAACTGTCAAGAGCTTGCCTTCTAAGTGGAGAAACAGGGAAAGTACACTTCTCGCAGCAATCTGGCAGATATTGTTCAAAATTTGGCTAACGACGACAGAAATTCTTAAGCGAAATTCTCAACTCTGAAATTCCTTAATAAAATGCAGATAAAAGCAAACACAAGGTGTGTTTATATTTTCGAAAATTTTCAGAAAAATAAGTATTGTATTTATAAGAAACAAATATCTGATAAACATGTGTCTATTTCTCTCAGTGTAGCCATTTATATAACATTCTTATGCAGCTTTACTGGCTGCCAGCTCAGGAGGCAGTTCATCATTCAGGACGTGGCTGGGGCTTAAGCCATTTCAATATTCGTTTACTGCTGAGCTAATCACAATGCTGCGGGTCAAAGGTTGCACACTTGAGCCTCAAGTGGTACTGGCAGCAGGTAGATGAGCCCACCTGGCACTTTAGAGCTCTTCGGCGCCACATTATTGTGCATATCGAGCGAGCACTCGACCAAGCACAGACACAACGACAGCTGCGTATCTACGAGGATTATTTAGGGCTCTTTCCGGTCAACGTTTTGCGGGCAAAACAAATTGCCTTTATCTGACTTTGACTTTCATACAAATATACGCAAATACATACATACACACAGTTCACTTTCTATATAAATACATACATATATACGCGCTTAAATACAATTCATATTTTGAGCTCGGCGTGAAAATGAAAAGGGATTTCCGTTGTGCGGAAAATGAAAAGCAATTAGATAAGCTCTGGCCGCCAGCTGAATGTGGCAATTGGATATGATTTGTGTGCCGCCCCACTGCCCCCTATCTGCCTGACTATCTCCAGCTGTTTTACAGCCATTCACTGCATGAGGTAATCCCTTTTAATAAAGCCTTTACTTTGATTTCAAATTAAAATGAGAGCCCAACCGTTGACCTTTGTTCTAATATTTCTTTACTCAGCTTTTGATTAAGCTAGGAATTTCGTAATAAAATCGTATTTCATATTTAGCACAAATTCTGTTTTATTTCCCTTGGCTTTTCAATTTGACCATTTGTGTATTTCTTTTGTGCTTGGCTGTACTCGATTTCGTAGCTCAGTGGAAATGCAGGAGCTATCTTATTTTTTGCTGAAAATTCGCTTTTTAGCGCACTAAATTTCAATGAAATAAGAGATCCCTAATTGAATCTTTATATATTGTATATATATATTTTTATACATATACTTATTAAACAACAGCCTTAAATTATTTAATATATATATTTTATATTTACTTTATTATTTATTATGCTTGTTATTAATTGGTATTGCTAATTTTATTGTTGTGTTAATTGATTTCTTATATAATTTATATAATACTTATTACCATAAATGCGCTATAGAGTTAACAACAAAATCTGCAATAAAACTATATATAATAATTTTTTTTTTATTATAATAATAATAATAATTTTTATATAAAATGATTATTTGTTTTTTTTTTTTATTCGTAATACATATATACATTTTTATAACCCAGAACCCATATATTATTTTATTATTATTATTAATATTATTAATAATATTTTGTTTTATTATTATTATTTATTACTATTTTTATTTCATATGATTTTGTAACAAATGAATTGTTTGTATTAAAAAATAAATAGATATATATATTTCTTACATAAGATTGCCAATTATCTCATTAGAAAGGCGCAAACGGATTTAATGAAAACTGAGAGCTCGAGCTGGAGCTCTTTAGCTAAGCCCCCTAAGCCTAATAAGCTGCTTTTGAGAACTTTACACTTTTGGCTTTTAGCCAATAAGAGCTAGCAATAGTGAAAGCTGCCTTTTAAGCTGTTGCTGAGTATGTTTTAGTTTTCTATTTTTTGTTTTTATTTATTTTTGTATATGTGTACATATGTGCCTCAGCGCCCCAGAAGCTCACACAACCCATTTTCAAATTAGAAGAAAACAGCTTGGAGAACATTTTTCAATTTGCAAGCGAGCTGCATGGAAATTGTGCACATCCTGAGCTACAAGCTGGGATCCGCTTTGGCGCTGCCAAATCCGCTTACAAAAGCAGCGAGTCCTGCGAAAGCTCCTGTTGCTGCCGTTATCCTGTGCAACTGCAACAAAATGTTGCACGCGCGAGCATTTATGAATATATACATATATCAATATCTATATATCTATATGTGTGTATATTAACTTTACCCGCAGCAAACTTTGACTGCGCAATTTTTTATTTTTCTTATGATATTTTTCCGAGCGAAAAATTTAAATAAAAATGCATAAATAAATTGAATTGTGAGATATGAACTCGCATTTATTTTTAATCTTGTTAATATGCACGTTGACAGGCCTGGCCAATTTTCGCAATCTGTATCTCTGCTTTTGTGTATCTGCAATAGGTCAGCAGCAGCAGGAGGAGGAGGAAAACTGCATATC